TATATATATAAAATATATATGTACATATATATATATATATATAGAATTTAATTGAAAAATAATGTAAATTTAATAAATTTTAATAAAATTCTAAATTTCATATCATATTATATATCAACAAATTGTGCTTCCTACAATTGATATAGTATGAAGATTAAAGAAAATCCAGCTTGTTCTATTCTCCTAAGACAATCTGTTACTCCCCACTTGAATGTATTTATAGATTGTTAAAAATAACAGTCATGATACCATTCTACTACTACAGTAAATAACTGTCTTAAAAATTGTATTTATATTGATGAAAATAAACAACATGCTGTTTATATTTAAATTATATTTAAATTATATGTAATAATTACTATAGCAAAAATAAACATAATGAAAAAAATAAATATTTGCTTATTTATAAAATGATTAAATAATATATAAAAATATTGTGCTATAAATAATTTCAATTTGCATAATTATAAATTTTGTGATTAAGATTGCAAAAGCAAATGGTGCTTTCTACTATTAATATACATTAGATACTTTATAAGTGCAATTACATATAATTATAATAAATTTTGATGCAGCATTTAATATATTATAATTACATAATTTTTCAAACTATATAGATAAAAATATATTACATGCAAAAAGCAACATTATTAAATTGACACATCATATTATTGTACCCTGTTGACGAGGGGTAATATTACGTTGCTGTGTATGCTTTTGCTGCATTTGCGTCTGTTTTGATTGAGGTGGTAAAGGTACCAATTGAGGATTTGACAAATTATGAGTTCCATCAACACCAGAACCCAATGGTATACAACCACGTGCTTCATAAGCATCATACTCGCGGCCATCATAATTTGCATCAAAGAATTTCTTGAACCATTGTAGAAATTCAAAATTGTCTTGAAAGCGGCCTTTTACCAATTTGTCCACTGGTATTACCTGAACCATTTTCATAATAATAAATTTAATGTAATTTTATACTTATTGCACTTTGTATAACACTTTTTAGTGAAGCAACATGATTCTATATATTATCATACAGAGTATATCTTGATTCATTACTTTACCTTACCTTGACATAAGTAATGTTGTTTCATTGATATCTACATTAAACTATTATGTTTTCTAAGTTTCCTAACAAGTAAAATTTCATAAATATAAATTATGCTTTTAGTTTTCATAACATTATTGTCAATCTTACATTTTCTGACTAAAATTAAAGTTACACAAATATTAAATATTACAATATCTTAATGATTGAATTTGAAGAAATTTTCAAATAATTAAAAATATTTTATATAGAATTTATAATAACTCTAGAATTTATAATAAACTCTATATACATTTATATCATTTACCTTATCTACATTCATCTTTTTGAAACCACCTTGTAAAATTTTAAAATTCTGTATATATTCATGCTCAAGGTTAGTCTTGAATTTGACCCTCTTCAATGGCACACTTCCAGGAAAAAGCATGTCCATGAATTGACAATAAACAGCTCCAGTACATAATTCTTCAATCTTGGTGAATGATGATTGAAGGCAGTCATTTACCCATGCCAACATATCATGTCGACTTAAGTTTTCAGTTGTCACATTTGTTGCATAAACATTAACAGCCATATCTGTATTCTTCTTTTAAATAACTAAAATATAATGATTAAAAAATTAGAAAAAAATATATAAGTAAATTATATGTTATCAATAACTCGTATAATATAAAACATATATTAACATATAGAAACAATCAAAAATTCAAAAATCATCACTTAACACAGTGACTTAATATAACAAATAGATCAATTATAAAACGATTATTGATATCATTTGAACGATTGATCTCGAAGTAGACTTAAAAGGAATAACATTCCATTCACTTTTTTGGCTCGAAACACTGACCGACGACATATTCGGGACCTTTCTTCCACATGCCTCGATTTCAATGTATGCATATTTTTGTAACACTTAATACTAGTAATTGATTCGAACCATAAAAATAAATTTTGGAATCTTTATCCTATTTTTTTACGTGTAGATATTCATAAAATAACTTACCGAGTATCGCGGAAACACCGTAACACCAATCGGGAGTGGTTCCCGCACGCAAATGACAAATGTATACTAGATCGTTCAAATGCGCATACAACGGAAATTTCTAACGGTTTCTTCGATAATGATTGGACGATACACATGTACTGCAATAGATATTTCACCAAAAAATCGAACAATTATTACGAATATTTTTCTTTTGTGCTTTTTCTCAAACACACTTATTTTTACCACGTATTCGATCTTGCTATTCTATCGAATCGACCGCGTAGCAACAAAATTTTCATGCGTCTGTCAATGGAATTAACAAACGAACACACTTTAGAGATTTCAGACACCGGTAAAGAAGTTCGTTGCTCCGAGATATGTTCAAAATCGAAGAATTCGTGATAGCCGTTAACAGAAAAGATAAAATGTTTAATCCTGACTCACAAGGTGTGTATCATTTTGCGAAGTCTATTTTATATTCGCCAATCACAGCAGTTTTCTTGGACAAGATGATATTAGATATATACTTATCACGAATTTTATCATTTTTTTTATCATTAAGAATTAATATTTTTGTATTTGATATTTTGTGAAAATATTTTAATTATATACGAATAAAGTAATTTAGATATATTTTTTTTAAGGAGGAATAAATTAAAACTAGGTATTAAAAAATGTATGGTTATCTTTTTGTGTAATAAATATAATAAATACAGTACAATAAATAAAACTAGATTTAGCTTTTCCATTTAACTGATGGTAATCGTAGCGCGCTTTCTGCGTAAAAATATTCTTCAGATTGTGGTTGTAATTTTGTTTTATATTCCATCAATGCAGTACGATCTGCTTGTTGTACAAGTATCTATGAAAAAAATTGAAAATTTTTACATCAATTTAACTAATGTGTGAAGACTATGTATTAATTCAGAATATTAGAAATGTTTGAATATTTATGTACTTACATCAATAGCTATTCTAAAACAATGCATATTTTTTGATAATTCCAATCGTCTCTCTATATTATCCACATATTTTAAGTATTTCTCAAGTACTTCAGAAGGTGCATTATTATTATGCAATATTTTTAGTACATCTTCAATAGGAAGATAAATTTGTAATTTTTTACTTCCTAACCATCCCTAATAATTATTATAAAATTTTATATATTATTACATTATTATATTTTATTTTAATATAAAAATCCCACCTTTGTTAAAAGTAATCGATCAACATCATCCCATTCAGCAGCTGATGCTCTAACTTCTAATGCAACTTTTTGATATTGTCTAGGAGAGACATCATGTTGTTGAGATAAAATTGTAGGAGACATTAAAGTATTTTCTGACAAATTCCAATGACCTTTGCATGCATGTTTTAAACAATCAAGAACAGATGAATTTAATTCAATGTCCTCATTTCCATCTAATTTTTTCACTGCCATTTGCCATTCTAATAATATATTAATAAATATATATATTTACATATAATTATATATTACTTTTAAGTGATTTTTTTTTTACCAAGTAATTTTATATAAGATTGTACAAATGAGGCTTCTTTACATTCAGTTAAAGTTGAGAATTGTGTTTTATAACTGTTTCGAAGTTTATTTAATAATCTATCAGGATCTCGAGTATTTTTTATAATAATATGTAAAGTCTTCATCTAAAATATAAATAAATGAAATATAATAGAATTAACAATTTTGTTATATATAAATATAAAACTTACAGCAGCATCCATTGATTGTCCTAACATTCTGAAAAAATTATAAATTAATTAGAAAATTAATTAAAAAATCGTTCACATATTATTAATACATACGTTAAAATATCTGTAATTTCATTTATTTGTAATCTTATAGAAAGATATCTTATGTAAACATTCACGGCATCAGGTCTTCTTGCCAATATCCTTTGAACTAAAGATCTTTTAAGAGTTTTTGTAAGAAATAAAATAATCTAAAATACAATTTCTTTTATTTATTGTATAAAAAAATTTAAAAAAAAATTAAAAAAATTATAGAAATAAAAAATTATTACTATTAAAATGGCATTTCCATCGCCATTTATTATTGCTGTATCTAATAAGGCAGTTTTACTGGCAAATGATTTATATTGTTCCAAAGAATATGGTTGGCCAAGTAAAATTTTTCTATAAGTAATATCTGGTTGTACAATAGCTGTTTCTGGATGAAGATTTTGTAATTTATCTGTTGCTAAAACTGTGAAACAAAATTTTCATGTAATGAATAAATCTATTTATATTATTATTTAATAAAAATAATGAAAATTCAAGCTATTGCATTGAGTATTTCAATCTATGTATGACTTTACTGACATACTGCAAGAAAGCGTTTTTTCCGAGATAATAGATAACATAGGCTTAAGTGGTTGATAATCAGTAGAAGTTTTTAAAGATCCTTCTGCTGTTGACGTATTTGAAATACCAGCCCATAATTTATCTGTATCAGTTTTTGATACTCCAAACAATTGATCCACCTATTTTTAATATCATTTTATTAAAAATTATAGAAAATTAGTAAAATTATTATTAACATCAATTTTATTAACATCAATTTTATTAACTTAACCTCATTATTTTCAAAACAGAAAGATCGCTTTTCACTACTGTACCAAAAATCTTCATCATCTTTAGCAGAAGTCATAATTTTAGTTTTGTATAAATAATCTACGTAATTACACTAAAATGTCTAATATATTAAATCATAGACGATAAATATGACATAGACCTAATATCTTATGGGATCTTATGTTTCATAAATTGACGTACCAATTTTAAAAAAATAAATTCTTTTATGCTTTCTATGATTTAAAATAACATAATTTTGAATATAATTTGTTGTTGAAATTATTTTTTAAATTATTTTTTCAGTGTTAATATTTCAATTCTTAATAGAAAAAAATTTCAAAATATATTTATTTCTAAAATAGAAATAATTCATAATTCTTAAAAATAATTTTCTATATTATTTTCTACACAATTTGTATGAAATAAATTAAATAAAATATTATAGCAAATTAATATTTATAATACATTTGCCTTTATATATTTTTTTTTATTTTTATTAAACATGATTTGAGAATCACTGTGCAAAATTGCTTTAAATTTATTTGTGTTGAAAGATTTATCGTGCCTTACAGATATTTTAGTTGATTTTTAATCGTAAATAATTTAAAAAAAACTTCACACTTAATGCTATTATTTCATTCATATATTTTTTTTTATTTTATTATTATTATTTTTGCTTTGTGAAAATATTTTTTAAATTTTCTACCATATTGTCATCATGTAAAACATCAACGTAAAACATTTAATCAGCTTTAATCATCATAATGGAAAATAAATATCATCAATGATGTAAAAAATATTTTATATCATAAACTAGATAATAAAATAATCATCACATTTTTTTTTAAATATATTTATTCTAATTATAAGAATTCAAAATTAAAAATAAATGAGATATTACATTACCTATAGGATTAATATAATATATAATGTACAGGTATCCCATATAATTTTATAAGAAAAAATATAAAAATATATAAAAAAAATATACATATACTTATAACATAAAAATTCAATTAAATAGTATCAAATTTTTAAATTTTTAATCAATAAGTTAGGCAAGAAAGACAATAAAGACAAATCAGATATTGAAACTGTTTCTTGTGTTCGTATAATTATACGAATAAATATAAACAAGGAAAACAAATAATAAAAGAAGACAGAAATAGATTAAAAATTATGAAATCAGCGCCATCTATAGAGTGCCGCAAATGAAAGTATATAAACAAGGATAGAAAATAGAAAGAAAAAGATAGAAATAAATCAAGAATTGTCTATCAGCGCCATCTCTCGAATATCAAAGATATTTCTTTAAAAGGTAAAACAGAATAGGAATTGAATAATAGCGCCATCTTTTAAAAATACCGAAAACATTCTTATAAACTTACTCACAAGATGGCACTGATATTCAATTCTTATTCTATCTTATCCTTTTAAAATAATATCTTTGATATTTAAGAGATGGCACTAATAGACAATTCTTACCCTATCTTATCCTTTTAAAATAATGTATTTGATATTCAAGAGATGGCGCTGATATTCAGTTTCTACTCTATTTTATCCTTTCGAAATAATATCTTTAGCGCTCAAGAGATGGCGTTGATAAATAATTCTTATTCTATCACTATCTTTTTCTTATTATTTGCTATCCTTTTTTATTTATAGTTTCATTTGCGGCACTCTATAGATGGCGCTGATTTCACAATTTTTAATGTATCTCTATCTTTCTCTCACTATTTACTTTCCTTGTCTACAATAGTTCGGCGTATTTATCGATATTAAATGTCACTATTGAACTATTGAATATATTTTCATTTTTTTTCTTTTAAAACTACAATATACTTTAATCTTTAATATAAAAAATATTAAATTTAAAATTTTTAGCCTTATAATGCATTTCTAAAATGACGATTTCGCGAAACATATTTATATAAAGTATTTTATAATAATTTTTATAAATACAATTATATAAATATAACATGCAATTTTCTTTATATGTAGTATAAGATACTTTATAATAATTTTATTTCTGATTTATAATTTGATATTGAAATTTAATCTTAATTTCAATTTTATTCTGTGATTAATATTTTTCAGATAGAATACAGAATGCATCAAATCTACTTCTGTATGTCTTGTCTAAGATCGCATGTAAATTTTTTTTCTTTTTTTTTCGCAACTAAATTCTATACATATTTTATTACTTATTATATATTTATTAAAATATACGATAAAATAAAATATATGATAACAATTTATACTAATGGATGTAAATTTAATGATAATGAGGTAAATTATATAACCATGATACAACGTACGATCTATTTATTATTTACAACAACGTATCAATGTTACACAAAATGTACCACATCTCTCTTTTTCTCTCGTGTTTTTATTTAAATCACTTATCACACAATTTACAAAACGTCGCTCATTCGCTCGACATTTAAATTCAACTTGATAAATGGACTGCATTTAGAACTTCTTCTCAATATTTTTCTGGGTTTTCGTACTTTTTCGGGCGAAATAATGTACGGAAAGAGGAAATTGCGAACATGGGGGAGAGTTTTTAAATGGAAATGAATTCTCGAACGCTTTATGCCTCATATTTTTAAAAATTCGTTCCATCAAATGGTTCGCGGTAACGAAGTGAAATTTCGAATATTTTAATGTCCAATCTCTTTACGAAGAAAAAAATTTTTATTACATTTTCGTTCCATTATTTCTTTCTTATACTTTGATCGTTTAAAATTAAAAATTTACGATAAAGAGAAAAATGCAAAAAAATTTCTCAAAAATAACTGTGCCCGTAAAATTAAAAATCGTACAGGATCTTCAAAATTGTAAAAACGAAATAAAAGTTATCGAAGACATAAGCGTTCATAATTTCGAGATTCGACTTGCGAATTGCGCGCGTAATTTAAATACTCGACACTCGAACAAGTACATTTTCGAGTTTTAATACAATTCCAAAGGACTTCATTCGCTTAGAAATACAATTTTAATTTCGTTAACATAACATTCAACATTTAAAAAATCTAATAACTGTACATACGTGCTTTAACGAGTCCGAAAGAAACTTCAACGTTAGGTCGTTCACAGTATATTGTCGATTTAGTCGAAGTATTCATACACGTTTAAGTTTCATAAACTTCTCTCTTCTGATCTTACGTGCGGATTTGATTTCTTTCGTTTCTTTTTTCTTATTTTACAACAAACAAAATATACTATATATTTTACTGTAACAACAACTATCCAATCATCCAGTATTAAAATCTATCGATTTTAATACCACACTTTGATAATTTTATGCCTTCCATAAAATATTAAAATATTAGCAACTATTCAGCTAAACAACGATAGAAAAAATTTATTAGGAATAACAAATCGAAAATTCTTTCTAACCTCTTCAGGAATTAATTTGCTAAAATTGTAAAAAAATACGATTATTCTTTCATTCGAATTGATTTAAAATATCTTTACTTAAACGGAAAAAATTTTAGAATATCTTGTATTTCAATTAAATTCTATTTTTTTTTTTTTTTTTTTTTTTTTTTTAATATAATCGATAATATGTTGGCACGTTATATTGTATCATTATTCCTCAAGAGGTTAAAGAATCTTCGTTTCTCTTCTAGCAATGAAGCTTCATAAAATCTTCAGTAAAGTGTAATCGAATCGAATACAGAAACAATTCTCCGATCAATCGGAGCGTAAAATTGTTAAAATTCCCGTAGATCGCGAAACTTCCAGCGGGAATAAAAAAAAAAAAAAGGAAGAAAATAAAAAAAAAATGGCTAAATTTCTAATACATCCCCATAAACTTTCTCAAAATAAAAGTTAAAAAATTTACTAGACGTGACAAATGGACAAAAGTTTAGGGGTTCGTTTTCAGCCACTAAAATCTCGCCTGCGAGAAAGAAACCAGTAGTTTTAAAACCAGAATATAACGATCCTCTTCGCGAACCTTCGATTGATTTTTTTTTTTTTTTTTTTTAGAACGTGACTGTCTTTTCATCTATCTCGTTTTTTCCATTTCTTTTTTACATTGAAAAATAATTTTTTTTTCATCTAGCGATTCGTTGATTTTAATTAATTTGAAATAAAAATTTTTTCTTTTAATCTCTATATCTTTGAAATTATAATTAATTTGTATTGTAATTGTAATTGTCTTTTTTCTAAATGCTTAATATCAATAATACATAAATTTTTATTTCGAAAATTAAATTTTACTTAACGAAAAGATTATTAAAGAATCAATAAATTCTTTTTATATTTTAATCTAAAAAGAGAAACTGTAAAATGTGATAGATGGAAAGCACGTGTTTTTTCGTGGTACACACACAGATGACGAGCATGGACAGCCGAAAAGATGGACGGATGGCTGTTGTGATGATCTCTCATTTTTCTTTAATTGTTAAAGTTAAGAAAGAGTCTGGACGATTTATGCCCCCGAATTAGAACGTGAACCCTGCCTCACCATGGTTTTTGATTGCACTTTACTGACCGTAAACACTGTAAGGGAAAGATTTTCAAGAAAATCGTGAATTAATGTTTCATTCGACCAAATATTTGTTGCCCTTAAACACGGATAAAAAGATTAAATGTACCAAAAAGTATTACACGTTCAAAAAAGAATGATCAAAATATTAATAATTACAAAAAAATTCTCGAAATATATATAATACAAATAAT